AAAAAAAAAAAAAAAAAAAAAAATCCAAGAAAATAGCTATGGGAAACACCAGAAAGATGGTAATCACCTTAAATATATAAAAGCACATGAAAAATGACTAGAAGGAAATATATTAAAATGAGAATGATGGCAATACTAAGATGACAAGGTTAGGAGTTACGTTTACTTTTCTCTAGTTCCTAAGTGATCCATAATGTGCTTATATAACTTTTTTTTTTTTTTTTTAAATGGAGTCTTGTTCTGTCACCCAGGCTTGAGCATAAAGGTGCGATCTCAGCTCACTGTAACCAATGCCTCCCAGGTTCAAGCGATTCTCCTGCCTCGGCCTCCCAAAATGCTGGGATTACAGGCATGAACCACTGCACCCGGCCTATATTACTTTTATAATCAAAATAGTAAGTTAATTTTAAAAAAAGAAAAAAAAAGGCAATGGCCTTCAGAGCTGCAGTGTACCCTGACTCTGCCATACATTCTGATGAAAGCTGGTCTCACATACACAGAAAATCTGAATAAACTAAACCCTAATAGGCCAATTGTGGGCAATACCAGTCTCCTGCCAAGGCCGCATAATCTGGGCCAGGTGCAAGATCCCTCTCCCAGGGATAATCAATGCCAAGAGGTCAGGGAATTGCACCTCTAAAGCACTAAGCCCCTTTTCCTCAATGCTCAACTGAGCACACTTGAGCAACAGTTCCTTCGGTTGAAGGGGCTCAAGGCAGGTGCAACACACAAAACAGCGAGCCGGACAAAGGGAGAAGCCAGGAGCAGAAAATGGGGCTTCTATGGGGCCAGTCCTACTTTCCATGAATAATGGATGACACCTTTCTTTTCTGCTTCTTCTATCCCTCCCTATCCACACCGCTGGAAAAAAAAAAAAAAAAAAAAAGGGGCAATAATGAAGAAGACAAACCACAATCTGAGGTACAGAAGGCAGCAGCAGGCCCCCAACTGCTCTTCAAGGAGACATACAGGCATGAGCAGAGGGCCAAAATCAGGAAAAGCTTCATGCTTTCCAAATAATGCTCAAATGGCAGAAAAACACCACAGTACATTGCTTCTTGGACTCCATAACGAATCTTGTCCATTATAAGGCTACTGATTAGTGAGGAGAAGAAAAAAAACACACTAAAAAAGTTAAGCAGTAAACCACCACAGGGCTAGGACAGAATCCTCTCAGTGCAAAAGGAAGAGGTATATAGTTGTATTTGAGGGCATGGATGTACACCCCCGAATGTATACCAAAAGGGTCTGGAAGGAGATACATTACCTGTTGACAGAGGTCATCTATGCAGAGTGGGATGGAGGCAGAAATGATATAGCAAGGAGAAAAGATGACCTTCACCTTGCTCTAAATATGCCTCTGTACTGTTTTCATTTTTAATATCAGATTCGCAGTATTTCTACAATAAAAGTGCATTGACAAACAGCATATTTTTCTTTTCTTTTTTTTCTGAGATGGAGTCTCACTCTGTCACCAGGCTAGAGGGTAATGGCACGATCTCAGCTGACTGCAACCTCCACCTCCTGGGTTCAAGCGATTCTCCTGCCTCAGCCTCCCAAGTAGCCGGGACTACAGGCGCGCACCACCATGCCCGGCTAATTTTTGTATTTTTAGTAGAGATGGGGCTTCACCACGTTGGTCAGGATGGTCTTGATCTCCTGACCTCATGATCCACCTGCCTCGGCCTCCCAAAGTGCTGGTATTACAGGCGTGAGCCACTGCACCCGGCCTTTCTTTTCTTTTTTTAAAATTTATTTTAGAGGCAGAGTCTTCCTTGGTTGCCCAGGTTGGAGTGCAGTGGCACAATCATAGCTCACTGTAACCTCAAACTCCTGGGCTCAAGGGATCCTCTCACCTCAGCCTCTAAGTAGCTAGGACTACAGCAATTCACCACTACACCCAGAGAGTTTTTTTAACTTTTTGTAGAGATGAGGTCTCACTATACTGTCCAGGCTGGTCTCGAACTCTTGGTCTCAAGGAATCCTCCCACCTTAGCCTCCCAAAGTGCTGCAATTACAGGCCTGAGACACTGTGCCTGGCCCAACATATTTTTAAGGGGTACTCTTTTTTTTCTTTTTTTTGGAGGCAGAGTCTCGCTCTGTTGCCCCAGCTGGAGGGCAGTGGCATAATCTCTGGTCACTGCAACCTCCACCTCCTGGGTTCAAGTGATTCTCCTGTCTCAGTACCAAGTAGCTTGAACTACAGCTGTGTGTCACTATGCCTAATTTTTTTTGTATTTTTAGTAGAGACAGGGTTTCACCACGTTTGTCAGGCTGGTCACGAACCCCTGACCTCAGGTGATCCACCTGCCTCAGCCTCCCAAAGTGCTGGGATTACAGGCGTGAGCCACTGTGCCTGGCCAGTAAGGGATGCTTGCTTTGGTCTGGGAAACAGTGAAATGAAAACCACAAGTCACACACCACAACCAGGCAAAGTTCTGTGAGGCCCTCCGATGTGTCTAGAGCTCACTGTCAGTTTGTTAAAGCGAAACCTGAAAGGTCCCATGGAGATGTTGATCTTCGCAGTCCCAAAGATTCTGTGACATCCATGAGAGATGCCTCCCTTTCTCCATATTCCTGGAATTGAGTCCTCTGTGCCACCCAGATTTCATGGGGACAGTACAAGGCACAGGCCTGTAACTGACACATGATGTAAATTGTATATGGAAGATGCTCTGATGTCCATGAAGGTACAAGATCGTCTAAAAATTTGTACTGATTGAATTTCACAAGTGTGGAGAGGCTCCAACTAGTCATTTTATATAAATCTCACAAGACCGTCCTTAGAAAACAGTAACAACTACAATTCTAAGGAGCCAAGAGATTTCCTCCATCCCTCCCAGATTCCTTTCTCCCCACCATGATTACCTGCAGTGCAGATGTGGCAGGATGAATGTGGGGCCCAAGCAATGCCGTTGACACATGCTCGATGGTTGTTTAACCTGGCGACAGGTGTGCAGGGAACTCGGACATCTAGAATCACCACCTGCGGAAATAATAAGTAAAAGGCCTGGGATCGTCAGAGTTTCACAGAAAAAAACAAAAAACACTATCCACATGCAAAAAATCTTTTTAGGCATAACTTTTTCATTTCTGGATTTAAAGAACATTAGAGACGGGATTTTCATAGGATTGAGGGAAAACAAGACAAAGGACACGGGTAGTTTATAGTCTCTATCTTGAGCAACACTGGGCCTTTAGACTGATAGGGGAGATGCAGAAACAGGCAACAGGAGTCTGGGTAATCCTGGATCCCAGCAGGTGCACGTGGTAAGAATTCTAGGCATCTCAGCTGAATGGAATGAGAGCCCAGCCAAAGCAGAATCTGAGGCACTAACGCCACCAAACCAAGGACAACCAATGCATTCTCCCCACCCACAATTCACCTTTTATCAAGTAACAGACTAGAGAGAGCTGCCATTTCTTTTTCCTTTTCTTTCCTTTTTTTTTTTTTTTTTTTTTTGAGACAGAGTCTCCCTCTGTCACCCAGGCTGGAGTGCAGTGATGCGATCTCCACTCACTGCAAGCTCCACCTCCTGGGTTCAAACCATTCTCCTGCCTCAGCCTCCCCGAGTAGCTGGGACTACAGGCACCCGCCACCACGCCCAACTAATGTTTTGGTTTTTTTTTTAGTAGAGATGGGGTTTCACTATGTTAGCTAGGAAGGTCTTAATCTCCTGCCCACCTTGGCCTCCCAAAGTGCTGGGATTACAGGTGTGAGCCACTGCGCCCAGACTTTTTTTTTTTTTTTTTTAGACGGAGTCTCGCTCTGTCTCCCAGGCTGGAGTGCAATGGCACGATCTCGGCTTATTGCAACCTCTGCCTACCAGGTTCAAGCGATTCTCTTGCCTCAGTCTCCTGAATAGCTGGAACTATAGGCGTACGCCACCACACCTAGCTAATTTTTGTATTTTTAGTAGAGACAGGGTTTCACCATGTTGGCCAGGATGGTCTCGATCTCTTGACTTCGTGATCCGCCTGCCTTGGCCTCCCAAAGTGTTGGGATTACAGGTGTGAGCCAGAGCGCCCAGCCAGAGAGCTGCCATTTCTACATCTGTTTGCTGAAGCTGGATGAATCCGTCCAGACTACAGAAGGGAAAAATCTGCTTTTTCACTCAGCACCATAGGCACATACGAGTTGGTTTACTCTTTAGATATTGCTTTTCCTGGCTAACTCCAACTCTTCAAAAATTAAAAGTTCTTAACAAGTAATTCTTGTTCCAAATCAGACTTTCTCAGTCCCGGGACTGCTGTCATTTTAGGTTGGATATACTTTGCTGAGGGACTGTCCTGGGCACTGTAGGATATTTAGCAGCCTCCCTGGTCTACCCCCTAGATACCATAGTACCAACTGTGTCTCCAGAGTTGTGACAACCAAAAATGCCTCCAGACATTCCCAAAGATACTCCGGGGGCCAAACTGCTCCAACTGAGAAGCAGCCTTCTAGATACACTAGGCACTGCTGAAGTTAGGCAGGGCCCATGGTAGCCTGAGGGGAGTGCTCACCTCCATTCCATCCATGGCCATGGTGGCCAGGTAGTTAGGGTCCTGCTTGTTCCAGCAGAGGCGAAGCAGCGGGTGATGCTGTGGGTCTTCGTAAATGATGGTGCTGTGTTCTAGATGGCGGAGGTCAAACATCCGCACAGAGCCATCAGCACCCACAGAGGCAAACATGTCCCTGCCACCCCCGGCCCGGCTAAATGCAATATCATAGACCTGTTGGTGAACAAGAAGCTCCGGTCAGATTCAGATCCATTACCTCTTCTTCCTATAGGAGGGAAATCTGCCACGTCAAGTTCATCTAAACCTCGCTCATGACACAGAAGCAAGTAAATGAAGCCCAAACAGTGTCTGTGAGTACTGAAACCTGAGAGTTCTAGTATCCGTGGCTTTCCAAAGATGGAGGATCATTCTGCTATAGAAATTGGCTGGTTTCTTCCCACATTCCTGCTTTCCAAATCTTCTTCCTCCAACCCCTGAGATAAAACAAAGGCACATACCCTGCTGACCAACAGAACAGTGGCTGTCTTCTGCCACACGACAAGAATGAGACATTTATTTCCTGGGCCTTATGCACAATCAGAGGCAGGTCTACGAGCCCATTAAGTCCTAGATCATCAATCACAGAGGTGAAAGCAGCCCTCCTGTGGTCACTGAATAGCAGCCAAGCTGATTCTACTGTGCAACCTGGACCTGAGACTCATGTGCAAGAAAGAGGTAACAGAAATTTTGAGTCATGAGAGGCCTAGATGTTCCTGTATTCACAAATAGGTTTAGTAGCACCCTCTTGTCCTAGGACATGTTGTTTCTTCTCCTAGTTGGTTTGTGATCATAAGTGAATCAATTTAGGTTCTAAATCACTGTTTTCTGCTTTTATTTGCTGCAAACATTGCATATCACTAACATCTATGAGGAAATAGAGGCAGAGAGCAATGGAGAGCTTCAGAGAAAGAGAGGACGAAGGCCGGGTGCGGTGGCTCACACCTGTAATCCCAGCACTTTGTGAGGCTGAGGCAGGCGGATCACAAGGTCAAGAGATCAAGACCATCCTGGCCAACACAGTGAAACCCTGTCTCTACTAAAAATACAAAAAAATTAGCTGGGCATGGTGGCTGGCCCCTGTAATTCCAGCTACTCAGGAGGCTGTGGCAGGAGAATTGCTTGAACCCGGGAGGCGGAAATTACAGTGAGCCGAGATTGCACCACTGCACTCCGGCCTGGGACAGAGCGAGACTCTGTCTAAAAAAAAAAAAAAGAGGATGAAGAGGAGCAAAGAGAAAGCCAGAGACAGACAAGTAGAGAGAGAAACAGAAATAGAAAAGCTAATGCCAAACAAAACTCATCTTCTGGGGATAATGACAGATGACTTCTGGGGAGACAAGACTAGAATTTCTCACTAAATATTGCAGCTCCAGTGTTGAGGTTCTGCCTACTGAGGGACACTGCCAAATGAGCATCTATTGCTATTTAACCTCATGAGTTCCTTTTTTTTCTGGCTATGAAGAAATTATGCTTGTTCTTCTATGGCCGGAAGTAGAAGTCGTTCAAAAGGGACTGGGCCAGTCATCAACAAGGAGGCACCCAGGCCTGACATGCCTGACAGATCGAGGCTTTGTCTAGTACTATACAGCTGCTTTAAGGCACAGCCATGTTTATTGTATAGCCCCCAATGCCAGCTCCTGGTAACCCTCAGGGACAGAGATGCCATAGGTGCCATGGGCAGTGTGGCCAAGCCATCAGCAAAGCTCTCTTAGCTCTAAGTGACTGCTCCTTCAGTGCTCCACCAGCATGGTTCACTGGGAAACCAAGGGAAGGTGACAACTCCCAAGTACACTAAACTCTCTTCTACAGTGATCTGCCAGGTATCAGTGAGAGCCTTCCAAACAAGTCTCCTCCTAGAGAAAGGTAGACTGAGAAAAATCAAAGGTGCTAGAAAGGTGCTATTACTGTTTCTCTAGAGCCACTATCCTTTCTCAGGCTCTTTCCTTCAAGACAAGGCTGCCGATCTAAGCCTGTCTGCTGCCAAGATCCATTCCTGGCCTTTCTCCCTGCTCTTCTCTGCGTCACAAGAGAACTGATTCCTACAGTGTGCATTTGGCAGGCTCTCAGATCTGCTTGCTGCTTCCGGCTGGTTCAGCCATGGGAGGCTTTGGTGGGAAACTGGATGATGGGAAGCAGAGAGAAGCTAAGGTATTTCTCCTCCCCTCTCTCTGTGCCTAGAAGCGTCTCTGCCAGGTAAATCCAGCCCCTGGGCTCCAGGAACCCTGCCTCCTCCCATGGTCCTTCTGGCCCATAGGCAGCTGCAGCTTTCTGCTGCTCCCATTCTATGGATGACCTCACTGCTATCTATGTGGCTTCTCAGCTTTACCATCTTCTGTACAAGCAGCCCCTAGATTAAATCCCCGCAGTTCAAATACTTAAGAGTAGTTCCCATTTTCTGGGTTGGACCTAACAGACAACAGCAGGCTAAGGTGTCATATAACTAAAATGTAGCAGCTTGTTCAACTTGATGCCAAGAGGGTTTCCAGAAGTTCCTTACTGGTCCTCTCTGCGGCACAAACTCTTCATTTGACCCCTGGTTTAGCAGCAGTCAAGTCTAGAAGTTTTGTAACAGGGCTTACCCTTAGGAGTATAGAAAGCCAAAGACAACCCCTTACTAAGAATGATAACCTGGGTCACATCTTCCTATGCTGTTGACAACCTCAAGTTTCTGACCTAAGGTCAAGGCATTCTTTTTATCTGTACAGATATTAATACCCCTAGCTGTGCAGGGTAAGGTAGAAAAGAAAAGGAAATAGTACCCATAGGAGATGAGAGTACCAGGAGCATGCAACGACTCTAGGAGGAAAAGATTTATGGGGATTTTCTAAAATCACTGAGAAGAATGCTTTGATTAAAATGCAATTGGCTGGGCATGGTGGCTCACGCCTGTAATCCCAGCACTTTGGGAGGCCAAGGTGGGTGGATCACCTGAGGTCAGGAGTTCGAGACCATCCTGGCCAACATGGTGAAACCCTGTCTCTGCTAAAAAATACAAAAATTAGCCAGGCGTGGTGGCGGGCACCTGTAATCCCCGCTACTCTGGAAGCTGAGGCAGGAGAATCACTTGAACCCAGAAGGCGGAGGTTGCAGTGAGCCCAGATTGCACCATTGCACTCCAGCCTGGGCAGTAAGAGGAAAACTTCGTCTCAAAAAAAAAAAACAATCACAAATAGTTCTCCTCAGTTTTCCCAATAAACACAGAAGCATCACCATCAAAGTAAAATATATTCCATTGCCTCCATTGCCAACAGTAATGAACGTATAAAGATTTAGGATTTTATAAAACATTTATAGAGAAAAATGGATAATTAGGTTTGTCTCTCAGAAACTTTTTTCTCTTCCTGTCTCCCTTCCTCCCCAAATCTAATCTATTTCAAGATAAGTATTACTCTAAAGTTATTTTTTAATTACATCAGTTCCTAGCTCCTCTATAAGAGACTTCATTATTAAAAAACAGCAACATCGGGAAAGGAAGTTCCAGGGCCCGTGCTGGGAAAGAGGTGGGGGGACCAGGGGAAGACTCAGGGTGCAATGGCAGCGCAAATTTCCAATTGTAGACACCACTTCCACTCCCAGAATAGTCCGGAACAGCAAGAAGAGGCCGGCCAGCCCTTCCCACAATGGCAACAGCGGCAGGGGCTATGGCGCCAGTAAGAAGAAAAAAGTGTCTGCCTCCAGCTTTGCGCAGGGTATCAGCATGGAAGCCATGAGTGAGAATAAAGTGGCACTCTCTGAGTTTAGCACAGGACCTGTGGAAAAAGCTGCCAAACCTTTGCCATTTAAGGATCCCAACTTTGTACACTCTGGCCATGGTGGCGCAGCTGCTGGTAAGAAGAACAGAACCTGGAAGAATCTGAAACAAATCCTCGCTTCCAAAAGGGCATTGCCGTGGCAACTGAACAATCCTAACTACTTCAGTATTGATGCTCCTCCATCCTTTAATCCAGCTAAGAAGTATTCTGATGTTTCAGGCCAACTACACAGACCCCCAGAGCAAACCGCGGTTCAGCACCATTGAAGTTTTCCTACATTCGGAGGCTGCCCTCTGACGTCGTCACCGGCTACCTGTCCCTGAGGAAGGCCACAAGCATCGTTCCCTGAGCCCGAGAAAGGGAGATGAAATGGAAAGCTGTTTCAAAAACAGACTCTGGACTCGTGATTTTGTTTCATGGAAACAAACTCGTTCTGCTGTCAATCTGAAAATGCCAGCGCTGTGCCTTGGAAAGAATGTTTGGCTTTCATTTAAGGGTTTTTTTGAGTGTGTGTTTTCCCTCCAAGTGTGATATTTCCTGATGAATTAAATTATACTTCAGTTGTTGCCTCAAGTAAAGGTGTTTGACAAGAAAATACAATAACTATACTTTTCATTTAAAAAAAAAAAAGCAACATCTAGCATGAAAAGAACAATGACAGACCGTATAAGTCATTTACATTAGCCAAAAAAAGCATTAGTTTACAATAGTGTTGTTTTCCCATTTTTGATACATTACTATTGTCAATTTAGACAAGAAGATGTTATGTTACGATTTTCTACATAAATTGCAGAACAATGAGAGAACAATCGACCTCTTCCTGTGTGGAAGGCACAGGAAGCATTTGAGGAAAGACGAAATGGAAAAGCATCATTACCTCTTTGTCATGGGCGATCAGTTGGGTCTTCACATGGCCAGACACAAGATTCACTCGCCCTAACACCTGCCCTGTCTCCAGCCCCCAGATGGTGCACGTTGTATCAATGCTTGAGGTACCTGCAAACAACCAGTGCAAGTCAGGGCTGATGGGACCAGGCAAGCTTCCCTCCTGTGTCTACTCATCTGCTTGGCCCAGGGAGCAACATACCATAAAGACTACAGAAAACAAGGTGGCGGCTACCGGCAGAGCCACAGAGGAAGTCAAGTATTCAGTCCTCACCATAAGACCTTAGATTCTAACTGGAGGGACAAGATCTACACATACGGAAAGCTCACCCACACAAAGGAACTAATAAATAACCACATTCCATGCCTAGCCTACTTCCCACAGAGCCTTGTTCTAGGATGATGCATGGCCCAGTGTGACATCTGAGAAAATGTATTTTGGCTTCTTCCAGCTGAAATACATACTCCCTAACTCCCTTACCTAAAAGATAAGGATCCACCTCATTCCAGTCAAAGGAGGTCAGGGGAGCACAGAAATCAGAGTTCTTATTATTGTTTAGCAAACACTCCAGCCTGGTCTCTGTTTCACCAACCTGAAGGAACAAGAATTTAAAAAAGAATCAGCCAGTCTTATCCTCATAAAAAATATTTTTAAAAATCCCTGTTTAGAAAATATCTTAGCAAACATAAGACATGAGGGGAAAATATTTTTATCAAAAACAGTAATAAACCCAGGACTCCCCGAATGCTACTTTTTCTCATACTTTCTCCTCTGCCCAGCTTTTGTTTTCTACATTTTCATCCCTGCATCTTCCTAGAGGAGAGGTCTTCTCACCTTGCCCAGCCTGGAACCTCTACACAGGTGTACTAAGGCCATGCCCATGCTACAGAGGACGCTGCTGCTGATGAGCTCTGCCGATGGCAGAGGGAAGCCTCCAAGATCCACTCACACACTTTATCAGAATCAATGGCCTGGTATTTCATTTAGTTTACTCAAAAATACCTTGGCTGCAAACAGAACATAAGTTCCCAAGCGTTCCCACCTCCCCTGAAGGCTGTCATCGTCACCTCAGGTTGACTGAGCTGACTGCAGCCAGACTTCATGGAATCTTGACTTGATTTACTAGAAAATCTGCTGAGCCAAATGAAGTCAGTCCATTTAAGTTTTGCTTGCTTATCCCGTGCTGCAGTGACACTCGCTGCCTCTGACCCCATCTGTTCTGTGACTTCTCACTGCTGACAGCTGAGGCTGAGAAAGCCGACTTGTCTGGCTGCTAATAAAGCATCCGCTTACCCTCCACACACGGAGATAGTCGCCGCTTGTTGCCAGTAGGTCTGGATAGACGCCTTTTGTATCAGGGATCCACATGAGCTTTGTGGTGGGGTACGGGTGGTCAAAGGTGTTTCTGCAAATAAACTCTGAACTCTCCTCATCTAAACCAACAAGCTGAACCTGTAACACGCCAAAGTTGAGCCACATAAGCATTTGTGAACAGTACAGCAAATACATTAGATCCCTGGTCAGTGATAGAGGGTTTTTTTTAAGACAAGATCTTGCTCTGTTGCCCAGGCTGGAGTGCAGTGGTGCGACCACAGCTCAATGCAGCCTCCATCTCCTGGACTCAAGTGATCCTTCCACCTCAGCCTCTCAAGAAGCTGGGGTTAGAGGCATGCACCACCATGCACAGCTAATTTTGTTCATTTTTTGTAGAGACAAGGTCTCACATGTTGCCCAGGTTGGTCTCGAACTTCTGACCTCAGGTAATCTGACCGCCTCTGCCTCCCAAAGTGCTGGGATTACAGACATGAGCCACCATGCCTGGCCAGTGACAGAAGTCTTGACACTGTACTACACTAAACTGCAGAATCAAAAACAATTGCCGTGAGAGGGCATCTAGTCCAACCATCCCCTGGCAGACAAGGACACCTAGACTCAAAGAGGTGGTTACGCACAATACTGCAAAGGCAGTAGGAGACAGAGACAAGATTTGATTACAGGTTTTCTGATTCAAGTACTGCATTCTTGACACCAACTACATAAGTGCACTCTCTGCCAAGCCAGGCACACCTTCCCCCAAAACCCCTGAGGTATTTGAAAATGAGCAGGGGTGGTTTTAGCTGCCACAATGACTGGAGTGCTGAGGACATTTGGTGCTCAGAGGCTGGGAATATGAATATGTGCAATTTCATTAAACAAACTAATGCTCACTTAAAAATCCAATAGTGCACAACCCTCATCAACCCCAAACTCAACACTGGCTCATTATGTTTACATGTAAAGGTACGTCAAATGACCATTTAAGAGCCCAAACCAAGCAAAAAAAAGTGGGCACCATTGATGATTAAGTCCCACCTAGCTCTGATCACTTTTTCTTAAGAGTCAATTTTAGCCCACCATTAACTTCCAATCTTTGCTGTCAAACTCGATCTGGCTCAGTGGGACACTAACTGTACATTTGCTTATGAACTTCCAGCTGGAAGATGGAATGGTGGGAATATTTGGTAAAGATCCGCAATAAGGGGAAAAGCACAAAATAGAATTCCTTCTACTCATCTTTCTGACTTCAGTCTCAGACACCAGTATCTTCCACACATTTTTTTTCCCCAAAGTTAGGTATAGTTGCATGCAATAAAACCCACTCAAGTGTACAGTTAAATGAGTTTTGGCAAATGTACAGTTAAATGAGTTTTGGCAAATGTACAGTTGTATAACCCCCACAGTAAGATATAAAACATTTCCATTAACCCAGAAAGTTCTCCCAGGCTCCTCTGCAGTCAACCCCTTATAACCACCCCAAGTGGCCACTGGTCTATGGTTTTGTCTCACCATAATACCACATAAATAGAATCAGATGGTCTTGAGTCTTTGGTCTGGCTACTTTCACTCAGTACACTGCTCTTGAGATTCATCCATGTTCTTGTGTGTATCAGTAGTTGCTTCTTTTCTTACTGCTGAATAATATTGCATTATGTGCAACCTGTAATTTTGTGTGCACTATGTGTGCATTATGTGCACTCTATAATTTTGGTTTTGTTTTTGAGATAGGGTCTCACTCTGTTGCACTGGTTCGAGTGCAGTGGTGCAATCATGGTTCACTGCAGGCTCAACCTCCTGGGCTTAAGCAATCCTCCAGCTTTAGCCTCCCCAGTAGCTGCGACCACAGGCATGTGCCACCACACCCAGCTAATTTCTAAATTTTTTGTAGAGATGGGGTCTCCTTATGTTGCCCAGGCTGGTCTCGAACTTCTGGGCTCAAGTGATCCTCCTGGCTTGGCCTCCCAAAGTGCTGGGATTACAGGAGTGAGCCACCGTGCCCAGCCAATTTTTTATGTCCTAGTTAAGAAATCTTTGCTTAATCCCAGGTCCCATATATTTTTTCCTATGTTGTCTTCTAAAAGTTTTCTAGTTTTAGGCTTCATATTTAGGTCTCTGAGTCATTTCAAATTAAATTTTTATATGGCACAAGATATGAATCAAGGTTTACTTTTTGTTGTTTTTCTTTTTGAGATGGAGTTTCGCTCTTGTCGCCCAGGCTGGAGTGCAATGGCACAATCTTGGCCCATGGCAACCTCCACCTCCTGTGTTCAAGCAATTCTCCTACCTCTCTGCCTCCTAAGTAGCTGGGACTACAGGCGTGTGCCATTACGCCCGGCTAATTTTTTAGTATTTTTAGTAGAGAAGGGGTTTCACCATTTTGGCCAGTCTAGTCTTGAACTGTTGACCTCAGGTGATCCACCTCCCAAAGTGCTAGGATTGTAGGCGTGAGCTACCGCTCCCGAACAAGGTTTGCTTTTTTACGTATGTCTGCCTGTTCCAGCATCACTGGTTGAGAATTCTTTCTCCTTTGAATTACCTTGAACCCTTTATTGAAAATCAGTTGACTATGTATTTGTTCATCTATTTCTGGACTCTATTCTGTTCCATTACCTATTTGCCTATCTGTTTGCTAGTAGGCAAACTGTCTTGATTATAGTAGCTTTCTAGTAAGTTCTAAAATCAGATAATGAGTTCTCCAACTTTGCTGTTCTTTTTCAAAATTGTTTTGCTATTCTCTACTTTTGCTTTTCCATGTACATTTTACAATCAGCTTGTCAAATTTTACAAAAAGCCTGCTGAGATTCTGATTGGGATTCTGTTGAATCTATCGATCAGTTTGGGGAGAACTGACATCTTACTAAAAATACTAAAAAGTTAGCTGTCACCCAGGGTGGAGTGTAGTGGCTCGATCACAGCTTACTACAGCCTTGGCCTCCCAGGCTCAAGTGATCCTCCCACCTCAGCCTCCCAAGTAGCTGGGACTACAGGTACAAGCCACCGTACCCAGCTAATTTTTGTATTTTTTGTAGAGACAGGGTTTTGCCGTGTTGCCCAGGCTGGTCTTGAACTCCCGGGCTCAAGTAATCCACCCACTTTGGCCTCCCAGTACCCTGGGCTTACACATATGAGCTACTGTGCTTGACCATGAAACTGTTTCAAATTCCATTTCCAATTGCTCATTGCTACTGTATACAGAAATACAATTGATTTTTATACATTAATCTTGGCTTCTATAACTTTGCTACATTAGTTGTTAGTTTTAGTAGCTTTTTTGTAGATTCCTAAGGATTTTTCTATGTATATTCATAGATCTTGTCATCCATCTTTAACTCTTAAAAATCCATATGACTAAGTCTAAATATTCATTTTATAGAGCACCCACAGACTTTCAACAATCATATAACTGTTAGGGAAGATAATGTATAAAGACATAAAAGGAGACAAAACCCAGTGCCCTAAAACACTTAAGATAGTAATGCAAGTAATGTCACAAGGTAATACATGATTGGCTTATTTATGACACAGATAATAATCTATAACAATTGAGAGGAAAGAGCAATGATTCAAACAGGGCACCTGAGGAAAAGAGGAGTCAGCATCTGAGCAGAGTCTTCAAAGGAGAACAGGAAGGATCTGGGTAGGCAAATAGGAAAGGGAAGGGCAACCCAGGTAGCTGGAACAGAAGGGTCATGCATACAAAGGTGGCAAACTAAATGACCCATTTGGTAGCAGCAAGCAGGCCTGTATGAGAGAGCCACGTGGGACTGCAGTGGAGATGCGGCCGGGAAGGTGTGCTGAGGGGAGGCTGGAAGGCCCCAAAAGCAACCATGGCCTTCCCCCCATGAAGGTGTCTGAGAAGACAGTGGTATGATTACAAGGCCTCTGAGGACCACATATCTGGTAGTGCTGGGCAGGACAGACTGGATCAAGCAGGTGGCTGGAGGCAGGGAGCTCAGAGGGAAACGGGAAAAATTAAGGGTCTATGGTGACTGATAGTGAGAATGGCAAGGGATAACCAGGAATGGCCACACGAGGGACTGTGACCAAATGAACAGTTTTTATATGGAACTAAAAAGTTGACATTCTGACCTTTGCAGAATTTTTTTTTTTTTTTTTTTTTTTATACAGATTTTCACTCTTGTCACCTAGGCTGGAGTGCAATGGCCTAGGTGGTTCACTGCTACCTCAGCCTCCCAGGTTCAAGCGATTCTCCTGCCTCAGCCTCCCAAGTAGCTGGGATTACATGCAGATGCCACTGTGCCCAGCTAATTTTTTTTGTATTTTTAGTAAAGATGGGGTTTCACCATGCCGGTCATGGTGCTCTCAAAGTCCTGATCTCAGGTGATCCACCCGCCTTGGCCTCCCAAAGTGCTGGGATTACAGGTATAAGCCACCACGCCCGGCCAGAAAATATTACATAAAGAAGGAAGATTCTAGATGAAACATGGAATTTTTGGTATCAGCCTTTGTGGAGGAGAAAGGGGAAAAAAAACCCAGATGAGAGTGCTTGCTTCAGCAGCACACATACTCAAATCGGAACCATACAGTGGTTAGCATGTTCCCTGCACAAGAATGACACGGAAATTTGTAAAGTGATCTGTATTTTTACAAAGGATAAATGCTTGCGGCAATGGATACCCAATTTTCCAAGTTGTGATTATTATGTATTGCATGCCTATACCAAAATAGGCACACCTATTATGTACCCACAGAACAACGATGACGACAATAACATGAAAGGCTAAATTCTCAGGCTCATCAGGCAGAATAAAGAATAAACCTCTGAAGCTGGGTGTGGTGGCTCACACCTGTAGTCCTAGCACTTTGGGAGGCCAAGGCGGGGAGTTCGAGACCAGTCTGGGTAACATGGTAAAACCTCGTCCCTACAAAAAATACAAAAATTCACCGGGTGTGGGAGTGCATGCCTGTAGTTCCAGCTAATTGGGAAGCTGAGATGGAAGGATGGTTTGAGCCTAGGAGGTAGATGTTGCAGTGAACTGAGATCACACCACCACACAGCAGCCTGGGCGACAGAGCTTTTTTTTTTTGTCTCAAAAAAGGAAGAAAGAAAGAAAAAAGAAAGAATAAACCTCTGATGTAGATTGTGAGCCAGATATTTCACTTATATATTCATT